TCTGCAGACAGCATCCAACATCTGCAGACAGCATCCAACATCTGCAGGGTGCTTGTAGGAGCGTTCATGTAAATTAAATGGATGGATGGAATATGTTAAGAGTAATCTGATTACTTGTGCAAGTTATTCTGTGTTGTGTAATGTGATTACTGGAGTAGAGTAATCTGATTACTGATGTCTTCTCAGGTGCAGCGTCTGCCCGTCTGCAGACTCCCCCACCTCCTCCACATCAGTGAAGGACTCTCTCCTCCCTTCCTCCCCCTCCACAGACCTCCCCTCCAGCATCCCACCTCACCCCCCACCTCACTCCAGGACCCTCCCCACGTCCCCGTCCCTACCCCTGTCACCCAGGTTCTACAAAGACCTGCCACTGTCCCTCCCCCTTTCCCCGGGTCTGTCTTACACCACCAGGACTCTGGAGGGACTCTCCCTGTCCAAGGAGGGCCCTGCCCCCCTCAGGGCCCTCACCAACCCCCCCGCTAAGAGAAAACTGCTGTCCAGGAGCCATCGGGGCCAGTACTTCAGCGGGCCCCAGCGCTGGCTGCGGGGCCACAGCGGGGACAGTCTCACTGGGTCCTTATCTGAGGGGGTCTACACCAAGCAGCTGGACCCCGACCTGCACACTTCCTCCCCGCAGGGCCACACTTTCATTAGCCACGCCTCCTGCGTCCTGGAGAACCGGAAGGCCCGGCACCGGGACCCACGGCCCCACGTCCGCAGGATCTTTGTGGAGCCCTGCAGGGAGCTGTCCCCAGACCACCAGACGGAGCGAGGGGAGGGGGTCTCGGCAGCAGGCATGTCTGTGGTCGTAGCGGAGTCGGAGTCTGGAGAAGAGGAGCCAGAAGGAGCCGCCGCCCAGGAAGTGGACTCAGACGAGCAAAGCAACGCGCAGCTTTCAGAAATCCTCAGCAGCACGTTGTAGGAACCGGAGAAGAACCAGGAAGAACTCACCGGGGTCCAGGATGTTAAAGCCATTAAAAACCTTTCTTCATCTTCATCTCATCAGACCAGAAATGTGTGGAGGACCGCCAGAACCCCACCCCCAACCCCCACCCACCATTACGAGCATGACCACTATGGCTCAGTGTTTGGCACTGTTGCCTCACAGCAAGAAGGTCCTGGGCTCAATCCCCGGTTGGACCTGGGATCTTTCTGTGTGGAGTTTGCATGTTCTCTCTGTGCTGCGTGGGTTTTCCCTGGTTTCCTCCCACAGACCAAAAACATGCATGTGTGCCTCCAGGCCCAGACCTCCCTGTGAGCTCCGTGGGATTTGCCTGGTTAAATAAAGTTCATTAAAAAATGGACGCAGTGACATCACGTCTACTTACATAAACAGACCGATGATTCTGAACTTCAACATAAAGCAACAGTTCAGATATTGTGAAGTGGAATTTTTCAGAGATTTAAAGAGTAAATATCTTACCTGCTGTAGAAGAAAAACAGAAAACAGGACCGATGAGCTAAAAGCTAGTCTGAATGGGACCAGGACCTAAAGTACTTGGATCTTTGCTGTTTAACCTGATATTTCCTGCAAGAAGTGCTACAGCTAGCTGCTGCTGCCTGCGTTGCAACAATCCCAGAGTTCTACATCCTGTTTAGAAAGCTTACGTGTTCAAACGTGACACGCGTTCATGTTTCATGTTTCTTACGTGATTGTGGGTCGTGATCATTTTACTAGATGAGAAAACTGTTAAATTCATGTGGTTTTACCGTACGGTAAATATGATTGTAATAAAAATGGTTAGGTCACTCCGGTCCTGGCTGTGACAGACTAGCCTTCAGCTCATCGTTCGATCTTTGGCCCAGTTTGAACTTTAAACCATGACATTAAATTCTGACAGCAGCTGGACCAGATTTTGTTGGTCAGAACACGATGTTCTGATGTTTGCACCCTTCCAGTGGGTTAGGACACATATGGACGTAACCACTATTTTAACTGTCAGAGCTCCTGATTTATGTGAGAACTATAAACATTTCTCCTGGTGCAGCTTAAAGACTTTCATTTAAAAGGTCAGATGCCCATTCATCCCCACCCCCCACGTCACCTCAGCCTCCGTCACAAAACCCCTCACCCTGACGAGTAGAACTCACTGTGTCCAACATGTCCTCTGGAAGACTGCATTCAGTTTGCTCTCACAAATCCAGTCAAACCAACTGGAACGTCCCCAAAATTAAAACTCGGGCTCCAAAAGTTAGAGAACCTTAAAATCTCAAAATCCATCATGGCTACCTCACACAATAAAAGCTATCCAGTCCCCACGAGTCACCATGCTGCTACAGGGTTAGGAATCATTGACATACAGCGAGCGTCTCACAGTAGCTGGCAGCAGCACCAAATGTAAGCCCCGCCCCCTTCATGCAAACCAATGGGACATTTTCCTGACTATAAGATAAAAAAACACTTTGGTCCACACGTTAGCCTGGTTGCATTAGAGATGCTAACGGTACTTAGCCTAGTTACATTAGAGATGCTAACGGTACTTAGCCTGGTTACATTAGAGATGCTAACGGTACTTAGCCTGGTTTCATTAGAGATGCTA